AGCCAATAAGTCGCGACCCCAGCCCGGTCGTGACCTTAGCCCTAGTTAGTTGGTCGCGACCCCAGCCCTAGTCAATAGGTGGCGACTCGAGCCGTAGCCGATTGGTAGCAACCCCAACCTTAGCCAATAAGTCGCGACCCTGGCCCTAGTCAGTTGGTCATGACTCTAACCCTAGCCAATAAGCTGTGACCCCAGCCCAAGTCAGTTGGTCGTGACCCTAGCGCTAGTCAATAGGTGGCGACCCGAGCCGTAGCCGATTGGTAGCAACCCCAACCCTAGCCAATAAGCCGCGACGCTAGACCTAGTTAATTGGTCATGACCCTAGCCCTAGCCAATAGGTCGCGACGCTAGATCTAGTTAATAGGTCGTGATCCTAGCCCTAGCCAATAAGTCGCGACCCCGGCCCGGTCGTGACCTTAGCCCTAGTCAGTTGGTCGCGACCCCAGCCCTAGTCAGTAGGTGGCGACCCGAGCCGTAGCCGATTGGTAGCAACCCCAACCCTAGCCAATAAGTCGCGACCTTAGACCTAGTCAATTGGTCATGACCCCAGCCCTAGCCAATAAGTCGCGACCTCAGTCCATGTCAATTGGTCGTGACCCTGGCCCTAGTCAATTGGTCGCGACCTCAGCCCTGTTGTGGTCCTAGCCCAAGTCAATTGGTCGCGATGTGTTGCGGCTAGGATTTGCGCTCCTCATAAAATTGGACTTTGCCACATGTTCCTCGGACATATGTTACAGCAGATTCAATGGATCACAATAATGTTACTGGGTAGTTTTGATTGAAAGAAGCTGTTGCGGAGTCTGATATAATCTATTATAAAACCAGTCGACCATAGCAGTCAGTACATAGCTGTTTTGACCACAGGTTGGTAAAACTAAGGTGAAGCTGGCGAACACCCTTTTATAGCGCCGTGCGTGGATGCTTATAAACGAATTCGCTCAAAAATTACTGCTCGGAATGTAAAACAGCGATTCTTGGAGAAGTTGGGAAAACGACGCCACTGGGAATGGACCTTGCCTCACCTGACAGTTGTGTAGGCAGTTGAATTCAACATGGAAGGTGACTTTCACAGCTTACTCAAACGTTTTTGGGTGCATCATTGAATGTATTCAAGCATGGGCCATCCTGTTTTATACGCGAAGCAGGTAAATGCAGGATGACATGCAGTGCAGTTAGACAATGGCAATGCACTTAGAGACATCGGAGCGGAGCGATGGAAACGCCGCCAATGGGGTCGTCCCAGTGCGTAGCAAGTGTCTACTATGCCCTGCTCAGTGCCTGCAGCACAGGGCGGTTGAACTTTTCCCTCCTCTTCCTAAAGTCAGGCGAACCCGACGATGAGCTCTCTCAGGATCGCACCAAGTGTTTGAGACCGCCTGACGGAACCGAAAGTCCTTCACCCACACTCAGAGGACCAAGTCGAGTGTTTCGGACCGCCTAACGAAACAGAAAGTCCTCCATCTCACGCTCTGAGGACCGGGCCAAGTGTTTCGGACCACCCGACGAAACCGAACGTCCTCCGCCCCTTATGTGTCACATTTCGCAACACTGCTTCGCACGACAGAAACACCTGAAGGCCGCTCTAACCCTGATGGCACCGCTGCATGACAGTGTGACAGCACGCCGCGTGACATGTCGCTCGAGACTGGGCCATTGCGGCGCGAGCTGAGACTGCTGTGGCGCAGGGCGAGACCATTGTGGCACGAGTCGAGACCATCGTGGCGCGAGGTGAGACTGTTGTGGCGCAGGGCGAGACCATTGTGGCACGAGGCGAGACCATTGTGGCACGAGGCGCCAGGTGGGCCGTCTGAGCTCATGCCCACATCTGTTTGTGTGCCTTCCCGAATGGCACTATCGGGAGCATGACATGCAAATGCTGCCGCGTCGGCGCCGCTCAGCGCGACAAATAAGGCCATTGCTATGCGGAAAGTATCAGTTGGGACACCCTTCGCGACATTTTCCTCGGCGCCTGACTGTAAATGACGGCGGCACGGTGCCCAGAGAGCTCCGCTCAGACTTGCCGCGCGCGCGATCCGCCATGCCTGCCAAAGGTCTTGGGAGTACGTCTTTGATGTATGTTTTGTGTTTTATGTTCATAGGACGTTTCTGCGAAGGTCTAAACCAGGCGTTCCCTACGGCTCGGGGGAACAGGGTCTCAGGGAGCGGACTGTGAGCTATCCAAGTTATATGTGATGTGAGGAAGATGTCCACCCAGGCAGCGCCAACAGGTCTGTGCTGACTGGCGGATAATGTTGACACATGTACTGCCATAGACCCAATATACTGAGGCGAGAATGCCACCCATCGCAGTGAAAATACAGGAGCGGTGTTTCAACTAACATGCCCGAATGCAGTCGCTGTGAAACACCTTTCTTTGCCTTTCAGTCTCATGCATGATTCTGTTCACAAGAGTTTAGAATATGCATGGGTTATGTTAATGAGTTTTGCTGCTTGGTTCGACAGAGTTTAATAATTCGATCCATCCTCAGGGAAATTGGTCTGCGAGAACGGAGAGCACTGGCCCGAACCCATTGATAGCCCGCTTGTTCGCCTGCGGGCATCCTCGTTCACCAATGAAACAGCGCGTGGTAAACCATGCTGCCCGGAACACATAGTCGGCAAACGCCTTTGAACGCCGCCCCATGCGATCGCAGATGTGAACAGCGCGGTCAGGAGCATATCTCGGACTTGAGAAAAATAGAAATCCTCGCATTTGCACTCAATAACGAGCTGTACACGCACCATACATTTCATCCACAGGCTTTGGGGAATATTTCGAGGCGCTTATCCTCTGTGCGGTGACGAGCACTTTTTACGAGTGGGAAAAGTGGAAGAGGGGCCTTTACCAATTCCAATGTCAGACGCGATCAGGTAAAAAGCATGGGAAATAACCCCGGGGGGAAAGCCCGGCAGACTGCCAGCTAGTGTCCTGGACCGCTGGAAACTGGAGCATTACGAGGCATGTACATGTGGCCTTCTTGTGTTATGGATGCGTGCTTGTCTGTGGCTGAGTAAAACCCAAGTGTCGCTCCTAACCGGTCGTGGAATTGGCGTATGGCGTGCCCAACCACTAATGGCGTTGGGACGGACGTGGCCCAGGGCTCACTAGGCCTGACTCGTTAACTAGCCAGACACCGTCCGCAGCGGGCGGACAGTGCCCATGAATGTGAGCAGGCCCTGTCACTCTGGTTTTTTCTGGGCCAGGCTAATTCTTGCGGTCTTACTGTAATGAAGCAAATCTCATTTGGAGTGTTACGACTTGTTCTTCGACCGCGCCACGGAGCCGTGACCAACCCTTCTTTGCAATGTTCATGCTATGCTATGTTGCCATGTTTGTGCTATGTTCATGTTACTGACGTGACCTCGTCCACACCACACGAATAATCTTGACCTCTCTGTGCTAGCCATTCTGTGGCTCCTGCTCCGCTCCTCCGCGCCAGTGTGTTGCTTTTCCGCGTTGATGAGAGCCTTCCGATCCACCTGCATGGCCGCTGCGCTCATCACCGATGAATAGTGTTTGCGTGAGTCTCTCAAATCACATTACGGCGAATTGTGGCGGCGGCGTTCACTGTCGGCGAGCGCTCCGAGCCGGTGGCGTTCACTGTCGGCGAGCGCTCCGAGTCGGTGGCGTTCACTGTCGGCGAGCGCTCCGAGCCATTGGCTCTCACCGTCGGCGAGTGCTCCGAGCCAGTGGCGTACACCGTCGGCGAACGCTTCGGGCCAGTGACGTACACCGTCGGCGAACGCTTCGGGCCACCCCTCCACCGGACTCCGCTCCGCGCCGCTACCGTTACGTTCGCCGCCCCCAGCCGGGGTCTTCGCTTCCACCCATGATTTCCACATGCTGACATCATTTCCGCTCAGAGTCCAGGGACTCGGCCAAGGGTAGGATCAGGATTGCCCCCCCCCCCCCCCCCTGACCCAAGAGGCCCACGCCAGACACTGAACGATTTCGCAGAATTTGAAGGAATTCTAACGCTTGGTCCCCTGAAGAAGGTATTGGCTGCGCGCCCGCCTGAGTGACGGTCAATTTCTGCTCCCAGCCACCTTCTCCGCTCGCAGCAACAAACTCCGCTCTTGTCCACGACCTGGCCGTGATGTTTGCTCTTAGCGTCGTGCAGCAGCCTGTCCCCAAAGCAATCTCTGCTCTCGGCCGTGGTTTCCATCTCCAGCTGCAATTTCCGCCATCAGACCCGACCTCTGCTTTGATTTCGCCCCTAGTACAGCCCCCTCTCCCAGCATAGTTCTTTCCCGCCAGCACTATGCCCGGGCAAAGGTCAAAGAAGGGTCTGGAAGGCGTGGGAAGCTCAAGTTTTTCAACCGCTTGGGAGATGTTTGGGGCTCGCAGGCTTCTTCTGAATGAGGCCTCGCCAATGGCCATCGCCTGGGGAAACTTGGGATTTTCCCGAGCCTTTCCGTCCGTCAGATTCGGGATTTGCTCTAGGAAGTCCTTTTGAAGTACATCATAGTGGGGTAGTCATTTTGAAGATCATCAAACCATCTCGAGAAACCCCCGGGATTCCCCGACCGTCCGTTCCGAGCACGGATGTTAATACTGACCGAGATCGGGTATTTTTTAGAGCGCGATGGCCTAAGACGGCTCGTGGAACGCTCTGGGTACCCTGCTTATGTAAATATGGAACACGGTTCGGAACAGAAAAGAATCCTAAACGTAACGTCTCACTTTCGGAGCTGATCCCAAGCATTCCCCAATTGCCAACTTGGGGAACGGACAGGATATCCCAGCTAGGGTCGAACCGAAATTACAGTCCGGGCTGCTAGCATTGGTCTCTGTTCTCAGCCGCGGTGTTTCCACCAGTCACGCCCTAGCCACGGTCTCTCCTCTGAGCCACTGATGTGGGCGTGCTAGGTCATCACAAAGGTCATCACAAAGGTCAAAGGTCAAAGGTCATTGCACAAAGGTCATCCCGGTCACCATCTCCTCCCCAGCCACGGTCTCTGCTCACAGCCACGGCTGACTGCAGCTTGCTTCGTTCCAGGAGGTGTCCATCTTCGTGTTCGAGAAGAAGAGCGCCGAGAAGCTGTACAAGCCAAAGCGGCGCGAGGCGGTGACTGAGCTGCTGCGAGCCGGGATCCGACAGCTAGAGAGGCTACGTCACCCGCGTATCCTGCAGGTGAGCTCAGTCTCCCCCCCCCCCCCCCCACACACACCTCTCGGTGCCTCGGGGCCTGGGACACCAGATGTCCGCTCATGGCCAGCCGTAGTCGCGCTGAACGGTGTCTGGGGACCGTTTTGTGGCATTGGATGTGCGACGCGACCCAATTAGAGCACATCAGTCGCTGCCAAATGAACGATTTGGGGGATTATGAGTCGTTTCAAAATTTGATGGCTGCTATTTGGTACAAACGCCCAGTTGGTGTCTGGCGACCATCTCGTTGATGTGAATTTGCTAATCAACCACATTAAACTTTGTGAATCGAAAACTAAAGAGCAATGCCGAAATTCCAAATTGCGTTGGCGTAGGATAGCCCGCATGTTTTTCGCAAACTGCAGATTCGGGCAACGAAAACGTCGGAAGAAAAGATCCGTTCGATCAAGATTAATGCAGACATCTCTTTGCCTTTTCCGAACGCTGCTACCACCTGATCCTGAATTAAATGACGTCGAACAGCTATTGACGAACCGCCGTGTGGGCGCCGGTGGCTGCACCATTGGTGGGGCCGCCTTGATGAGCTCCACGTGGGAGGTAGTGGCAGGCGGCGTGTGCAGATGGGGCCGCTTTGTCAATGCCATCGGTCCTCATGGACCCTAAGGCGGTGTCCCGAAAACAGATGGGAGGGAGATACTCCTCTCTCTGTTCTGTCTGTCTTTTAGTCTCTCTCTCTCTCTCTCTCTCTCTCTCTCTCTCTCTCTCTCTCTCTCTCTCTCTCTCTCTCTCTCTCTCTCTCTCTCTCTCTCTCTCTCTCTCTCTCTCTCTCTCTCTCTCTCTCTCTCTCTCTCTCTCTCTCTCTCTCTCTTTCTCTCTCTCTCCCTTTCTCTTTCTTTCACTCTTTTCCTCTCCCTTTCTCTCTCGCACTTCCTCTATTACTCTCACTCACTTTCTCTTTCTCCAGGCACGCAGCCGAAATTGTCGTCATGGGACAAGGAAGTTCAAATTGGCTTGAACCCCGGAACCCCGGAATTCAGTTCAGGAAAAAAAATTCAGGAAATGCAAATCCAGAAAATTTCAAATTGTCTTCGAAACCCTTGGAATTTAGAACAATTTTTTACTAAAAACCCGGATCAAGGCAAGTTGCTGTACTATCGATGACATCCTCCTTAACATCATCAGCTTCCCTCTTGCCTGACCGAAATTCCTGAAACTCTCCATTATTCATTTCATTCATAAATCCTGTGATCACTTGGGGCCCATCCAATTCCCCACCTATTTCCATCATTCCGTCATTACCAAAGCCTCCTTACCACCACGGCGTCCTGTCCATACGTCGTAAACATAAACACGGTCCATAAACAGTCCACGGCGTCCTGCTGATATCCGTCCCCAGCCCTATCACTCCGCAGGGGCGGTGCTGATATCCGTCCCCGGCCCTATCACTCCACAGGAGCGGTGCTGATATCCGTCCCCGGTCCCATCACTCACAGGAGCGGTGCTGATATCCGTCTCCGGTTCCATCACTCACAGGAGCGGTGCTGATATCCGTCCCCAGTCCCATCACTCCACAGGAGCGGTGCTGATATCCGTCCCGGCCTCATCACTCACAGGAGCGGTGCTGATATCCGTCCCCGGTCCTATCACTCCACAGGAGCGACGCTGATATCGTCCCCGGTCCCATGACTCACAGGAGCGGTGCTGATATCCGTCCCCCGGTCCCATCACTCACAGGAGCGGTGCTGATATCCGTTCCGGACCCATCACTCCATAGGAGCGGTGCTGATATTCGTCCCCGGTCCCATCACTCCACAGGAGCGGTGCTGATATCCGTCCCCGGTCCGATGACTCACAGGAGCGGTGCTGATATCCGTTCCGGACCCATCACTCCACAGGAGCGGTGCTGATGTTCGTCCCCGGTCCCATCACTCCACAGGAGCGGTGCTGATATCCGTCCTCGGTCCCATCACTCACAGGAGCGGTGCTGATATCCGTTCCGGACCGCATCCTCAACGCTGCCGACATCGGGGAGATAACACCACCGCGCCACATCGCCTTGACTGCTTCGATATCATTGACCACGGCCTCCTATTGCGAAACCTCAAACTGCACGTCATAAACAGCGCGGAGTTTGAGTCTTACCGTCGTGGACATACGCAGTGTCACACTTCCAAGCGCAGGGCCCTCACAGCCTCTGACCGGCACCATATTTCATGTTCCATGTTCCAGACCATCGGTGTGCTCCAGGGGTTGGCCTTAGAACCTTGTCGTTCAGCATTTTTTTTTTTTTTTGTGAACGACATGGCATTGTTTTCCCGGGAAGGCTACGGCCTGCAGCACGCTGATGATGCGCAGGTGCTTGTCGCCGGCGAACAGGAGCGATGGTCTCTCGTCGGCACTCATCACCTGCCCCCCCCCCCTCCCCTGTACGGAGAATGCACCGTGCTCTCCAGACGCATGGCTCCGCGTGAACGCCCCAGGTCATCGCCACTGAAACACAGCTTACCCTGTTCGGAAACCGCCAAAATCTACACAATTTTCCAAATCGCCATCCGTGACAGGGTTCTCGCACCGTGCAGTATGTGCGTGTCATCGGGGCTTTACGGCGCACTCAGTTGCTGAGGCTATATGGCGTCGCCTGCCTCTCACCCTGGCAGGAAGGACGGGTGCCGCGGAGAATCGAACCCCGTACCTCTGGTTTGCGGCTGCAGTAGAGAAACAATTGTGGTATCACTTCCGGCCAAGTCCTGGCGAGGGACGCGCATATCGCCCGCCAGTCGGTGCAACACAGGCAGCTTGTCTCTCCAGGCAGCTCCTCTCCGACGCCGCCGCCTCATACCAGATGGCCTCCTCACCACGCTGGCCACTGCTTCCACCCTCTCGCGTACCAAATGCTACACTTCGGTCTGTGGTAACGGCATGAGAAAGAGCACGGACAAAATTAAGAAAGTCTTGAACTTCGGCGCTCGGACTACGTTTGGGCGTCGTGAGTTTGACCATGGGCCTGAACTGTGAGGGAGGCTGGGCTGCCGGTCGCGCAACAACCACTGCACACCCTCACACTGGGTACAGCCCACAAGCTTATGACGCACGGTAAGCCAGACTCGCTCGCGCCCATCTCCGAGCAGATAGCTCTGTTCGTGCGCGGAGCATGAGGCGAGACCATCTGCTTGACGTGCCCCGCTCAAGGACCGAGGCTGGAAGCGGCATGTCTGTGCCACAGCGCCGAACGTGTATAACGAGCTCCCGCCCATCTCATGGGGCTGATGTCGCGGTCATTCACGCGTGTCTTTAGACGCCATAGGCTAAATCGACCGCCGGAATAAGACGCGGGCGGAAACGTGTTGAAAGGCCTGCCCTGGTTGCATATTCATTCGAGCTATATGTGTCTGCACTACACGACGAAACGTGTGCGTGTACTGCATGAGGAAGGCATGTTTTATTTGCTCAAAAGTGCCTTGGGGACTAACAGCACCCACACCGGAGAATTGCCCAACGATATCAATGTATACATATATCAAACTTCTACGAAAATCACTCATTTCTTAAGCAAACCTTTCGACTCAGAGAGGAATGGAAAGTATGGCACCCCGTGGCCCTCCCCTTGGCTACGTCTCTGCCTCCCCTCCCTCTCCCTACCTCTCCCTACCTCCTTTCCCGGTCCGCCGTCTGCCCGTCCTGTCGTCTGCCTGTCCGTCTGCCTGCCTGTCTGCCTGTCGGAAGCCTCGTTCCATTCACAGCCACGCGAAATGAAAGCGACCTGCGTTTGTGGCTTCTAATCTCAAACTTTGGCGCCGTCGCAGCTTCTGCAAAACTCGGCGATGACGGCCGATTGGTTTGATCTCCAGTCTTCTCAGTGCGACTCTTGGTTAAACTTTTCGTCTTGTCGCTCGATAACTAAGCCACCGTAGATGTTATGGACGGGCGGTCCAGTTCGCTATCTAATTGTCTCAGTGGACCGTCATGAGTATGAACACATGTCCATGGAAGCAACGCAGGTACATTTCTTTGTTCAGGAGCACTTTCTATCTCACGGGTGTAATTTTCCTCGTGTGGGGTTCGAGCCCTAAACAATTTCCAACGTTGAAACACAATAAACGTAAATTTTCAAGTACGGCTTATCTGACATAGGTTTACTGTCCGTCTTGCTGCTCATTTCCACTGAATGTAAGCGAGAGCTATTCGCCGATGCTCCCGAGTTCAGACGGCAATTCGAGAGCCACGCAGTCGTGTTTTGCATGCCAGCTGTGGCTCAGCATGTGAAGCGTGTTTGGCATGTCAGAAAGTCTGCCATTCGCGCGCAGACTGCTGTGTTTGTCATTTTGATGCAGCTGTGGAAGGATATTCGACCGGATATTGCGCCGCTGTAGCTGCCTGATCGCCAAAATACATCAAAGCGGCTTCAGTCGATGGGCGGTTTGTCCAACACGCGCGAGCTAACCCCGGTTTAGTGCTTACGATTGGTGTCAGCCTTTCTCATGCTTGTCATGCCAATGCCTTTATACCTCAACCACAAACATGACATTTTCTTAGCCGTCGCGTGGGTTGATAATTCGATTAGTTTATGTACACGCGGCGCACTTTGGGAACCCCTGTCGCCTGAGTATTTATGGCAACACTTGCCTGCGGAAGGTGATCTGCCTGACTCGTGTAACGCTGCCCTCACTCCGGAATTGATGTCGTTCTTTGAGGAGCCTTGCAGCGTCAGCAAATCATTCTTAACATGGAGGCAAGCCGTTGGAGATATTACGCCTGGGTCCGTAGCGGTATCTCACCATGTGCCTTTTCCTTCGTCACTTTTTGTTGATGGATGCCTGATGATCCAGCATGACAGAGTCGATCAAGCACCGGTGCAATAACTGGTGTTGAACGTTGGGATGAATGTCGTCACACGAGGCGTAAATAGGAGTTTTTACAATGCATTGCTGCTAGGTTATCACTGGATGAGCTCAATCAACTCGTCCTCAGTTTGGTCATTGACACTCCTGCTGACCTGACCTGACATGACGTATGACAGGTCACAT